ATCAACAGTTGCTTGCTCGATCTGCCAATATTTTGAGAAATGCCAGTTTTACTGCTAGGTGCCACTTGGCTTGAGCTGCTTAATTCATGATTTGTGAACTGACATCCGGAATAACAAAACCGTATTCCAGTTAGAATTTGCCATCAAGAGGAAAGCTGAAATATCACAACACAAAGCTCCCTGACTGTTTCTTTCTCCTTCCTGACTCCTCTCCTTCCTCCCACCCTCGTGCCTCTGCCTTCATCCAGAAACAAATGGATGTGTTAAAACAGTGAAATGTGTTTGCGAAAGATAAATAGTTTATCTTAAATATACTGTTGTAGTGTCAAACTGAGTCTCAAATACATGTACATATTTTATTCACAGACATAACATTTCAAAATGAGTAGGTTTTTTTTCCTTTTTCAAACATTTATACATGAATGCAATGCTTACAAAAAATAAAACAGAACGACGACGTAGCTCAGATCTTATCAGCATTATGTGCCGATCTCATCAGGAACACGAGCCCAGAGTGTAGTGTTTTGTTCCATAAAAGACATCAGTTCCTGACTGGCGACAGAGAGAAGTCTCTGGATTTTCAACACATCTCTCCCCTTTTCTCCTATTTTAATGTTTCGCTCTATTTTTAGTTTGCTGCCACAAATGTGTGATATTCTGGCTAAGACTTCCAATCATGTGCTTATGCTCCCTCTGTGAACTTCAGCAAAGAAATCTTTTGGTCAGTGGAGGCATTAGTAGCTACGTGTCAGGTGCTCTTCCATTTGGAACTGCAAAAATAAAGAAAATGTGGTTCTCATCCTTCCATCCTTAAGCATATGGAAAGCTACTGGAGAGATAGCAAAGCAAACAAATAAATGATGGTTTGCAGTAATATGCACTGTAATGGGTGTTTTGATCTTCTACCACAACTCAACAGGAAAGAATGTGTGCCACCAGGCCAATGTGCTTGGTCTCCCTGAGCTGTAGCGACAGAATATTTCTGTCGCATGTATGAGGTATGAGAATGCCAATGATGGCATGCTAAAATGAAGATTCTCAGCATCCACAGGGTCGTGGAAAGATAATCAAGACTTAGAAGGGTAATCTCATAGAGAAGTGAGACTCGAAAGACTGTCCTCAGAACAATAATGTTGCTCAGCATGAAGCAGCCTGGATAGAAGTGGAGCAAAGAAAAGGAGATGCAAGATATTTTGTATCAAACTAATATCTTTGTTCATGGGATATAACATTGTAAAACAAAGCACATTGATGAAACGCTTTTGTTCTGGTTATAAAAAGTAATAAATGAGGGAGGAACAAAGAATGCATCCACCTTAGACATTAGGAATTGATGAAAGATTTACTTGGGATTTTGAAAACAGGTTGTTCTAATAAAATCAATAACAATGTGTACCAATTTCAGAAGTGAGAATGACTTGGGAAGGGATCTACATGTGGGGCGGCTACAAAAGATTTGGTGAATCCAATTCATTTTTGATGAAGTACAGGGTCAACATGAGTTGTCAAAACCTGCTTCTAAGTGTTGGCATTTGCACCATCTGCAAGTTGAATATGTTACTCCAACTCTGCAGTATCCACGTCTCAAAATTTTGATGAAAGTTACATGATAGCAAATTTATGATAGGCTCTACATAATCACTTTCATGCTTTTGGGGCTGCAAGTTCATTCAAGTTTGTGTCATTATTACCATTCTTGGGCTCACAGAGGACAAATTTTATGATCCAAGAAGTACAAGTCCAGCCAAGCAAGTAAATGGGTTCAGATTTATTGTGAAGATACACTAATCTACCCTTTTCTGTTGCCCAAGACACAGATCTACAAATGTGTGTCTTTAACAAAATTAATGGAAATTGTCAATTTCAAATTACTCAAGCCATTGCATACTTGAAATATCATAAATACACAAGTGAAACTCAAAGCTATAGCTCAAAATTTATATTGTTAACTAATTTTAAATCCCTCTTTTATCACTGAAGCATCTATTACTTACTATCAGATGGGAAAACTAACAATCTGGGTCTTATATGTTTATTCAGAGCTTGTACACACCAGTTTATATTGTTAATCATAAATGAAAAGCTGACATAAGGATGTAGGAAGAGGAAATGTAGTCATTCACTCACCCATTCCACTAACATATCATCAGTGCCTATAATATGCTCCACTAAGCATGGGCTCTACAAATGGAGGGCAGTGTTCCTGCCCTTCAGGGGACCACATTTGAGTGACAATTTTGAGACTACACAGTAATCCCTGAACAATTGAAAATTGGCTGATTGGTTAAGCCAATGTGCAGATGAGAAAAAAATGGCATCTTATTAAGAAAGAAAATAACTTTTCAAAAAAGTAAAATTATAAATCATGAAATAAACACTGATTACCACAGATATAGGCTTTCTTTTCTGATTTAAGAGTTTTTATGGCAATCCATTTATTATGATCAAAATCCTGTATTTGACTTAAAAATGTTAACATAAAACATTAAGCGTGGTGCCTATGAAATGCATTCATTTCACATTTTAAAAATGCTCTCATTGGAACCAAGAGACACCAAAGAAGCACATAAATAAAAATAACTAAAAGTTCTGACAAATTTGAAAATTCTTACTACTCAAGGGAAAAACTCTAATACTCCAGTCAATAAAAACTGGGAGAGGTGCATGCATGGACACCAGTGATTACTCTGGTAACCATTTTTGTGTCACTCATCTGTAGACAGCTCCACTGACCCAGAGGGAACAATGTCTTAAGCCTGTCTAACAAAACTCTCCCCTGGAAGTGTGAAACCTGAATGGAGACTCTCAAAGAATGAGATGAGTTTCAGTAATGGCATCATGCCCTATAGAAAATCCCTACGCAACTCCTGCTGAAGACTTCTGCCTTACCGAGGACACATTATTCAGTTTTTCCTTTTAATCTGTGACCTGTCCTGCAAATTCCCAATACACTTTCTATTTCTTATCTTAGGTCACTTGGTTTCTGTCGCTTACAACCAAGAGACATTAACAGAAATAAATGTTTGACAACTAACTTTCCCTCCTGAAATGCTCTTGAGAACAGCTTTTATTTCTCAAGAGTCTCTATTTATAGCCTCTTTTTTGATAAAAATTACCCCAAAAATTGTGTTTAATTACCAAAACTTCTATATCATTGGGAAAATCTAAGGTCAGAATTATGAATGAAATATATTTAATCACTTACTAGCTATTATGGGATGGATCTGAAATGTTCCTCCAAAGCTCATGTGTTGGAAGCATGGTCCTCAATGCAGAGAAGGGACTTTTAGGTAATGATTAGATCTTGAGGGTTTTGACCTCATAGATGGATGGACTACTGGGAGGTGGGAACTTGTTGGTGGAAGTATGACATAGGAGCCTGCCTTGGAAGAGTGTATGTTCTCCTTGGCCCCTTCCCTTCTTTTTTTTCTCCGCTTTCTGGCCACCACAAGGTGAGCAGCCTTCCTCTACCATTCCCTTGTGCCCTGATGTTTTGCCTCACCTTAGGCTCAAAGAAGTGAAGCCAGCTGACCATAGACTGAAAAACTCTGAAATCACAAGCCAAAAAAATTTTCTTTCTCTTAAGTAGTTCTTTTCAGGTATTTTGGTCAAAATGACACAAAGATGATGAATACACTGTCAAATGGAGAATGTTTTTAATGAGTTGAAAATTGGATCAAATGATCATTGTTGTATTAAAGCCTAAAATTTGAAGTCACTTTATTAAAATGTTGATAATGTTTCATGTAACATTTCCAGTGAGATTCTATCACCATTACACCCATGTTATTTTTTTTTAATTGGTTGTTCAAAACATTACAAAGCTCATGATATATCATCTTTCATACATTTGACTCAATTGGGTTATGAACTCCATGTTATTTTTTTTTTAATTTTTTTTTTTGTGTGTGGTTATGTATGGACAGAATGCCTTTATTTAACTTTTTTTTTTTTAGGTGGTGCTGAGGATTGAACCCAGTGCCTCACACATGCTAGGCAAGTGCTCACCACTGAACCAAAAGCCCCAGCCCCCTCACACCCATGTTATTAGTGTTGTACTTGAACTATTGACATTTTAATAGTTTTCCCACTTGTATTCATAAATGCTGCTGCTACAACAGCTGTATGCCTGTGTTCACTTAAAGAATTATGCTCGTAGCCATTGTTGTTTGACAAACTGTAAATTCTTGAAAACTTCCCCAGCATCAGTAAATAAAATTGTTACTCCTGTGCCTTCTTCCATTGGAGACCTAAGACCTACTTCAGTGTCTTCTTTCATTGAAGAATGGGTCTGTTTGGAAAAAGCAATCCATGTTTGGATTTACTTGGGTGTTACTTGTCTACCTTATATTTTTAATATTCTTTTTGCCAATGATTGTGAGCCATTCTGCATTGTTTTGGGCGGGCCTTGATTTAATGTGCATTGCTATCATTTATTCTATCTGGTTTGTTAATGGTCTCAACCTATCCATCTGTCTATGAATCTGTTGAAATATCTTGCTTTTACTCTGTCAATAGAGCTATACTAAGCTTACAAATATCCTTTGCTGAGCCTTGACTGGTTGTGTTCTTCGGCTTGGTAGCTGTTGATATTCACTTATAACTTAAATGTGGGTTCCAAAATAACACTGCTTCAGCCAGATGGGACGTGCGAAGCATGCTGAATAAAATTTATTGCCATAAAAAAGTAGAAAATATTGGTCCTCCTATAAAATGTGAGATTTGATTGTATCACACGCATCCCTACATTCACCGAACAAACATGTATTTCTTACCACAGTGGATGGCACAGTCAAAATTTCCTTTCCAGAAGGTGCCCTTGTCTTTCAGCTATTTGAGAACTATGGTTAGCTGGTTGGATTTGCAGCTTCTTCTGTTGGGGGATGGAATCCAAGATGTGTAGAAATTCCTGGCTGGTTACAATTTCTTTGTTCCCAGTTGATTAATGATTGACTGATTCCAGGTTTTAAAAGCTCAGTCTATTTGGTTTTTCTGAAGGTGGGACAACTCTGCAGTCATGCCACAATCCAGAGTCTTAACATGTACCAGGGTAAGTTAAGAGTTTTCCTAAGGCAATATCTTTTTTGGGTCTTTCTCCTTTCCTATCCTACTTTCCCACTTACATAATTTTCTTAAGCAATACTCCTCAATAAATTGTGTATGCCTAAGTCCTCATCTCAGGTTTTGTGAACTAAGGAATATAACCAATGATAATTATCTATTTTATGCTGGGTACTAGACAAAGGCTAAAAATTTGAATAAAACATTTTCCTTTTCACCAATGACTCAATGTTTTCGCCTTTGTGGATTTATCCAAATGGATTCTGATACAATAGTTGCTGAATAATAAATGATTTGCTTAATTCACAATTTTCCCATTTCTCTGAATCCATACATTGTTACATTTGATACACTTATTTTTATTCAAAAGGCTGTTATATAATAGAGTTTCTGTAAATAGAGTCATATTTGAAATGACATAAGGGAGATGCTATTAAAAGCACTATTTTAATACTTTTGTAAACAGAATAATTAACAACTAAAATTATCAATTTTGAAATATGAATTTTCATAAACCTCACTACTATAAAGAAGATGCTGCTTTACTTGGTACTGTATTGATATCAAAGAAATTTACAGGAAACTTCTCTCCCTTGCCTTCCCCCATTCTTATTTTTGGACTTTCATCCTATTTTTATAGTTATAACATTTTGACCTCATCCTGCTGAGTTTACTTCATGCTGATCAAATTCAGCTCTTTTCACTTGTTTCTTTATGCTGGATGTGAGGGTGGATTGCTACAAGGAAGAGTTTATATATGCAAATGTGTGTGTGTGTATTATATTTAATTCCATAAATCATTCCATCTATTTTCACCAGAATGAGTAGGCAACTAGCAAGGGATTCAGAATATCTTGATGGAATGGAGATTTTTTTTATCAGTCTTTATTTGATTGGAACAGATTTGAGTTAAAAAAGAAACAAATTATTAAAAGAGAAGAAGAGCATGAAGGTAAGGACGTGAAAGGATATGTACAAGGCAAATGGAAGAAAAAGTAATGGGGAACAGAGAGTGGGAACCAATATAATACACAAGAGGAGCCTTCTCACTGTCCAGTGTAACCGCTTTACTAAAAGTTTGCCCTTTGCTTGGGATGGTCTTCAGGGAGGTTGAAACCATAGCCCTGGTGGGCATGTACTTTGTTGAACTAGGGATAGGAAATATTCAACATTCAGGCTGAATAGGTGGATACTCCATGGGCTTGAGGTCCTGGGTATGGTAGTGGGCCTACAGTTTATATGGTATAGATAAAGTCTACAGACAGAGTATATATGAAAACAGGTTCAAGGAGTAGCTGACTGGGTTTCCAAGAAAGCACTGAAACTCCCTCTGGGGTTGCAGAAATCTGAATCTGAATCTAGTATGCCATAGTAACCCTGACTGTCTTCCATTTATGTACTAGTATAGTGTCAATGGTAGGGTATTATAATGTAGAATTTTTTTTAAAGAATAGTACAAAAGAAGGATGAGTCAGGGCTGACTCACGTGTTCAAAGGTATTTTAAAACCTCAAGTGATGCCAAGAAAGATGAAAGAATTGAATAAACAGAATGAAAAAATGGGACACATGACATTAATAAGTCCAAATCTGAGAGACTCAGATAAGTTCTTAAATTTTACTTTAATAAAATAAGATTACTCTGTATGATTGTGATATAATTAAAATTCTACAAAAACAGTTCTGAATAACAGAGAATGGAATAATTGGAAAATTGACTTAATGGTTGGGTGTCAGAGTGATTAAATTTGATTTTTGCAAAGGTATGGAAAAAAGAGAGAGCTCTATGTATATCTAAAAGATGTAGTAATAATGGGTGAATGGAACTAATCTTCATAATAGGTAAAGAGAATGATTTTGGAGGCTGACATAAGCAGTTTTTAAAAGGAACAGATGTTCTTAGAGAACAATCATAAACATCAAGATGACAGATAAGCAATATTATCTTGAGAAGAACAAATGGTGGACATCATTTCCGATAGTTTTATAGTGGATGAAATCATAAGCAAGTAATAAAGACCACTGTTACAGTTGAGTTTCAATTAATATAAAATAGATGTTAAAATTCTAATTCAATTCTAATTTAATCTGAAATTAATACTATTGATTTGGCAATTAGTGAAGACTGATCATTAATGATTGGAGATCTACTTTTGGCAAACTCTTCGTGAGGCTATTAAAAGGTTCATCACTGTATGGAAGCTGACTATGGAGAGGTTGCAGATGGCCCTAGATTTAAAGATATTGCAAATGTCAGTGAACTGCAAATAATGTAAGGATTGCTAACACATTTACAAATGTGAGCAGAAAACAACTAAAATAAGATTGAGCTTGGAAAAGATACATGCTTTAGCATAGGATAAAACAATCTAACAGACACTCATATTCACTAAGAAGATGAGCCTAGAGATAAACAACACTGAAAAAAGAATAAGCATGAATGATGATAAGAAACACAAATATATTCTGCATACAGCAAATGTAAACAAAAGATCTGCTGTTTTAGATGTTGACTGTAAGGAAGCACTCTGTAAAGGTCAGGCAAATAGATTTTAAAGAGAAATGTTATTTTATAGCATATGCAAAATACTAAGTAAGGCATTCACAGAAGAAACTATATTAAACGTGTAAAATTTAATTAAATATATTTACAATCCAAATATAAAAATTGAGTAGATTCAAAAAAGAGAAGAGCAAAAACTAATGAATAGGAGAAGCTATAAGAATGTTGCAACTTCATTTAACGAGTACTTAAATTTAACATCTTCAGTGTACAAAACAATGTGGTTGATATTCTAAGGGAAGTAGAAAAATAGATTTGCATTTGTCCATTACTGTCTTTCAGTGTTTTATTCTTCTTTGGGAGAGAGACTTACAAACAACAGATTCTGCCTTGTGTTCAAGAATTTTGAGAATAGCAAATGTGGTGATTTTCAAAAGGATAGTGAAGTAAGTAGAGATCAAAGATTCATTATGATTATGGAATTTTTTTAAGTGCTTGGGAGACATGATCTCAATTCCTTTCAATATATTACAATTCCATGGTTTTCAATTCTAAAGAAAAACTAGAATACTAGAGGAGAAGCTATGTCATATTGACTGAGGTCATATTGACTAAGAAAAGTATTTTACAAGATAGATTAAAGGAGGTAGGTTTAATATTAACTCTTGGCTTGGGCAGCTTGTCTGAATCCAAGCTGGACTCATGCATGCTATGACCAACAGAGGTCGATTGGAAAGAAAAACATATTTTTAGGTGGATAACTCTCTACAGTATAATTAAAAGTATTTTCTTATCTGATTTAGATACTTTGTTTAACCAAACAGGATATTAGAAACAACTTAGAAAAGCAAGGCTTGAGTTACAGCCAAAACTTAATACTACTGCTAGGGTCTGAAACAGTGGTTCCCATTGTGCTGGAGGGTCTGAAGACCTAGCTGCTCTATAATCTCAACATGAGATGAGCATGTAAAGTGTTTGTTTGTTTTTTTTTTTTTTAACTCTCCAGTGCTGGGGATTGAAACCAGGACCTTGGGCATGCTAGGCAAATACTTTAACACCAGCTGTAGCATGTAAGTTCTTACAGCACTCGATGAAGAGCTATTTTGGAGTTTCCATCTGCAACAGGGCTTTGTCCAGATTTTACTTTAATGGAAAATTAATTTTGCTAAGTCTTTGACAGAGACTTCTTCTTTGAGAGCACAGATTCTTCTGTGATTTACAGAATCAGGAGTTCTAATACCTAAGGGCAATGAAAGATTCCCAGCTCAAGAAGAGAGAGAATTTGCCCTTCCACTGCACTTTTGTTCTAATTGAGTTCTCAAAAGTTTGGATGATGCCCACCCATATAGGTGAGAACAGATGTTCTTTACTCAGTCTACTGATTTAAATGCTACTTTCTTCCCCAAATACACACACATAAAGAAATTAATAATGTTTATTAGTTTATTAGTTATCTTGGCATTGTTAATCCAGTCAAACTTACATATAAAATTAACCATCATACCAGGTAAATATGCTTACTCAAACATTCCTTCTCAATTTTTATGTTCATCTCAGTGTGGTTCATTTCAGTTTACCAGTTAGCCCTGGATCAGTCTATGGGCCATACTTTTGAGTAGCAGTGACATAAGGGACAACACACAACATTAGAAATTAGAACAGTTAAAATGTTTACAGAGGAAGAAGATGACACGCCAAGTCAGTAAAGGTCCAAAATTCAACTCTAAAGTCTTCATTGTTTCCTTTGATTTGAAATTTTGTTAGCATTTTTATTGCTGGATTTTGCCTAAACAAAATTGTTAATACTACTTTCAGTTCTGACCTTTTGTTCCTTTAGCTAACCTGGTCCCAATCCTTTTTTTCAGAGGTTATCAGAAACAGAGGGGGATGATGGAGCTTCTTGAATAGACTAAAGCCACATTACTACAAACCCATTTCACTTGTGATTCAAGAAGAAAGGGAGCAGTTGCTTCTAAGGATGGAATGTTTGAAGATTAAGAATGCATCATCATTCCTTCTATATTTTGGAAATCAGAAACCACCTTTAGATATTACTATCAAATATTTCTGTTCTAATGGTTGAATGTTTCATTGCTATCTTATGAAAATAAAGTTTAGCAATAATGTTCCCTTGGATAAATATGCTTAGCTTTAATTATTTTTTAAAACCATTCTCCTGTGACAGAGGTCAAATGCAAAATGCCATATCAGCATCAGTAAAAACTAACATGTAAGGCATTTTACATATTTTGATATTAGAACAACAAGTGTTCTTTGACCCCTTCTTGACCTTAAAGCATGGTACAAAGGAACGGTCTACAGAAACTGGCATGGCCTCCATAAAAGCCCCATTTTTTTTTCAATCAAGATGTTAGCAGATTCAATTAGTTTTAAGAAACTCTTGATATTTTCTAATATTAAATGTGTAGACTACAATGGGATGGATTATGACTTTAGGGATGAATACACAAGAGATACTCCTATCTTTTCTATGATGTATATTGTTTGTATAATTTTATACATCTACATATTTTTTCAAATATCAGGAGCTGTAAGAAAAACTTGTAATTTTTACCTTGGAAGATAAAATCAAAGTAAAGATAGATTTTATTCTAATAAATAGCAACAAACAAAATTCTACACATATTAAAACCACTTCACAGTAGTTGATAAAATGAATGCAATGCTTTAACGAGTGTCTGCCATTTAGTAATTTTATTCAACTCAGATGTTGCTCTTTGGTTTTGAATTAAGTAGAACAACTATATTAAATGAATGAATGTTGGAAGATAAATATTTTAGATACATTTAACCCATTGTCCAAGTTGCAGTCAATTTTGAGAAATAGGGATAGGATATGGGTTAAATATTTTCTGATTTTTTTTTATTTTTTACAGAAAATAGGGTTTTAATGAATTATCAAGTCATCAAGCATTTGGTATTCTTACACAGCAACAATATTTTAAATGACATCATGGGTGGATAGGAAATATGAATTTATAGCAGGTGATCTAGGGGAGACAAGTGAATTACATATTCTGCTTTACAAGTCACAGATCTACTTTACCTGGTTACAGTGATCATAATCATGCCTGGAGGCCACAGAGTAAAGCATGCATTGTTATTTCTAAAGTAATAAGTGCTTTATGAGTGTATTTTCCTCATTGAATCTAAAATATTAACCTATTTAATGAGGAGTAATGGAACCATAGTCTCCATATCTCAGGGTTCTTCACATTGCAAAGGCGAAAGAACTGAAGTCTCAATGCCCCATGGATCAGAATTTTTATATTACTCTTTGTTCTTATAGCTGTAATCATTAAAATCTAAAGGTTTGTGGTAAAATAAGGGATGGAGGGTTTTAGTCATTTTTTTGTTGTTGTTGCTGTTGTTGTTTCTGAGACCAAAAGACCTAACAAGAACAATTAGAGGAAGAAAAGTTTATCTGGGGGCTCATGGTTTCAGAAGTCTTAGTCCCTAGGCTGCCAACTCCATTCTTTGGGACCTGAGGCAAGTTAGAATATCATGGTGGAAGAGTATTGCAGAAGAAAGTGGCTTCAGACATGGCCACCACGAAGCAGAGAGACTAATGTCAACACACAAAATATATACCCCAAAGACATGCCCTCAGTGACCCACCTCCTCCAACAACACCCTATCTGCTTTTAGTCACTACTCAAGCTAATCCCATTAGGGGAACAACCAATTCAATGATTGGATTAAGGCTTTTATGACCCAAATCATTTGATTTCTAAACCTCCTTGCATTATGACACACATGAGCTTTGGGGGAATACCTCACATCCAAACCATAACATAGAATGAAATTCTCTTCATCATTATTGAAAATTTTATCTTAGATGAAGGGCCATGCACCAGACGTATGGTTTATAAGTGGATTGTACCAAACCCAAAGAAAATTATATCAGACTGGATACTAGGATGGTGTCTACTTGGTGATTCCTGGACTGAAGAAATTCTATACTTCTTTGTTTTGACTGCAAAGTGTAAATATGAAATATATAAGTCAGTCTAAGATCTAAAAACAAGCACCAAATACATAGTGATAGTTGGCTTTCTCTGTAATGAAACTATATTTGTATGGTATTTTGGCTCACTCGACTGAGCTCATTTAATTTGCCAGGAGAAGAACATGTCTTGCTTCTGAAGCCCGGGTTCCAGCATGAATATATGTGAAGTTCAACGAAACCTAAATTGCAGGCTGGCGGCAAGCCCATCTGACCTGCAACCTGCAACACAGTCACATAGCTGAGCCTTGTCTAGGTCAGTCAAGACAAAGTTAGCTGGCAAATCTATGAAGAGGAGAGGAAATGCATATTTTTGAAGGGGGTTTGTTACACAACATTATCATGGAAAGAGATGCCAGAAGCAAGTACTGGCTAAGTAATAGATTTTTTTTTGAGTTGGTGCTGGGGTTTGAACCCAGGACCTTGTGCATTCAAGGCAAGCACTCTACCAACTGAGCTATGTCCCCAGCCCAATAGTAGATATTTTTAAGGAAAAAAAAATAATCTAGTTATGTAATTGGATTTAGGTCAGGCATTGACGAGTAAGAAAGATTTGTCCTTATAAATGCTCACTCAAAAATCGTATGTATATACATGTAAATGTAGATGTGTGTGTAGCTATTTATTTACACAATTGATTAGGAAAGCTGCATAAAAATCATTATTTCATTTTCTTGTCATAAGCTATGCAATACTATGGCAAGGTTTAAAGAAGTAAAACTTCTGAAGTACTAATTAATTATCTTGTCATTGACATAAATATAGTAAGAGCTCCTTGTATTAATACATTTGTGATTATCTTCCTATCACCACCCTCAGCTTTTTCTGCTGTTTGTAGTCCCATCTGTTCCAAAACCCAGATTTCATTTAGAAAGTACTCAATTACTTCTTTCACACTTTTGCTATTCTACAATGCATCTAACCTCAATCATGCTCAGTGTCTTTACCATAAATCATCCCTCCTGTTATTCAGAGTTGCAAGTATCCCCATTTTTTCTCTCTAAAATAAACATCTTCCCAACACATTTGAAAACAAAGATGGGGAATATACATAAACTGACCCTAATCCAATCCAACATATGGTCCATGATTTCTGAGAGAACTAGACTTTCACAATTACTGCTGGGTCTCTTGAAATTTCTAAGCCTTCTTTTTGGAGTTTTGAAAAATCCACATAAAGAATGCTTAGTTTGAACGAATCCAACCTATTCCTATCTATCTTTTCACACCTCTTTTCCCTCTGTTCTGCCCTGATCTCAGAATGGAGGTATGGTAATGTAGAAAAGAAGAAAGTCAACTATGTGGCAAAATTGGATGGGTGCGATTATTTAGAATGGAATGGAATGGAATCCTGTCTACTCTAAGTCTGTGGCTAGGAAAAAAAAAAGTGAGTTCTGAGGAAAGACACTCCATACTGATCTTTTGATCTCTAAAGATTTTAGTCCCTTTTAAGGTAAGTCTCTGTCTTACACCAAACAGAGGACAGACAGGAAGAAAAAGAAAGGCAATAGGGCAGCAGTATGACTCATTTATACTCTTTGCGGAGACAGCTGGCTCCTCTGAATAATCTCATTTCCCCTGAAGCACTCCCACCCTATGCCGGCTGGGTAGGAATTTATTTAGGATTTCCCCATCCACTCTGGATACAGCCAACTGAAACTGAAGGACTGAACCTGAGGATGGCAAAGTCTTCTTGTATCGAAAACCCACAGGGCAGTTACCTAATATTCTACTTGAAGACCATGTTACTTGTTTGAAAATACATGTAAAATTGGAAGTTGAATATCTGTGTAATATCAATACATTTAATGCTGGCTATTGTGTTGGTGAATTTTCTCAGTCCTATGCACTGCTAGGGAAGTGTGTATTCACACCTGTGTATAGGGGTTACTAAAGATGAAACTTACACTCTGAGGCCCAAACTAGAGTTATATTTACATAAGCTCAGAGACTTAAGAAGGTATCAAACTATAAAATCTGTGAGTAGATCCAAATCCAGGCAAAGATGATATTTCTAAATGAAAAAAATCACTAAATTAAATCTCAGAAGGTTTTCAGTTTTGGCCCTCAAATAAACACAGCCTTGGAGTGTCAATGAAATGGCCTTAGAGAGTGAAATTTAGTACAAATGGCAATGACCTCAGAGATTAATATTCTATAATGACACATGAAAATCTTACAAGAATAATTTACTTCCTTACTAAATATGAACTCTCTAAATATGAACAACATGGTACTAGTAATTCGTTTAAAGCATCCCTACCAAGCTATTGTCTAAGACATAGTTCTAAAAATTGAATAGTATGAAAGAAATTCTGTCCATGCTTCCATCAACTACTAACAAAATGTGAAAAACACACCACTAACAAAATGTGAAAAACACACCAATCATATGAAGAACATCTTATATTACATTTAAATACAGCTGCAGCAGAAAGGATAATTGTAGGTACTCCTTGGGAACTGGCAGGAATATACTCTTTTGCAACTCTTCCATTTGTTATTGTTTGCAGACACAGTGCATACCTAACATTTGTTTTATGGAAACAAATAAAAAACTCAATAAACAATATATCCCTTCATCCTCTACAGCAATAAACTTCCATTTTAATGAGATTTCTATTCAATACTGCAATTCTGATTTCTCTTCAAGTTGACTAAAATAAGTTTTTACCTTAATTCTTAAATCTCAAAAGCATTTGTAACTCTACATACAGATTCAATACAGAAAATGTTAATGTGTTTTCTCTAGGACATTTCATGAACTATTTCTTCAATGTATATAGAGGATATCAGGACATCAACCAACTAAAATAGTCAATGACCTAACAGATTAACAGTTATATAACTCTATTTGGTAATGCAAAAAGAATGCCTAACTTCCCTACTATATCTAAACTTTCTACAAAACAACATCGTCCTGGTAGTTCAGGTTGGACATCTCTTTCATAATACATTAGTAGTTTGGGATGAAGATATTTCTTACTTTTCTAGTCAAGAATAAGATGTTCTCACAGTGAGTGGAATGATTAATAATAGAATATTAATGCCAGTCCCCAAATTGGAAAGGGGACCGTCTACTCTTTTTTTCCCTCTGAATTTCCAAAGCACAT